TGCCTTAGAGCAACCGTCTGAACAGGGAAACCCGGATAAAGAAACCAAACAACCCTCCCCCGGCGAAAATGGCATTCCGGACGACCTTACGCTGGATAAGCCCATGAAGCAGAAGAACCTCCACAAGAGGCTCGTTGCAACCGCACGCAGCCTGAAAAAGCAGAAGCGGAAGCTAAAAACTGCGGAAGATGCACTCAGAATCAGATGGAGTAAAGTACTCAATACCGCAGACAAATACGGCGGCAGTCGCCACATTAAAAGCTATCTGAAACGCAAGCTACTGCCCGAATTCGGCGAAGAGGCCTTAGAACCCTCGCATTCAAAAAATAAGAAAGCCACCCGGTCGGATAGACGACCCCATGGCCAGCACAAAGCGGCAAGCGGCGCCGCACTCAAGCCGGCATGCGACCCACTTAAGGATTCGCACCAAAAGGATGGCCCATCCAGGTCCATTTATGGGCCAAGAAAGCAAGCTCTCGTAAGCAATGCAACAAAGCCAATATCCGAATCCGGCACACCCAAATACAGGGGCGCCGCACACCCCCTATGTTTCACCGATGAGGTCCTGGATTATGAATTTCTAGCGGGATTCAAACCCGTAAACATAGAGGCATACGACGGAACAACAGACCCTGGAGTCTGGATCGACGATTATATCCTCCACATACATATGGCTAGAGGAGATGACCTCCACGCCATCAAATACTTACCCCTCAAGCTTAAAGGGCCAGCCCGGCATTGGCTTAAAAGCCTTCCTAAAACACAATTGGAAGTTGGGAAGAGCTCGAGGACGCTTTCCGAGCAAATTTTCAAGGGACCTATGTCCGCCCTCCGGATGCGGACGATCTCAGTCACATAACCCAACGGCCCGGAGAGTCAGCTCGGCAGTTCTGGAATAGATTTCTCACTAAGAAGAATCAAATAGTCGACTGTCCGGATGCCGAAGCCCTAGCAGCTTTTAGGCACAACGTTCGAGACGAATGGCTCGCCAGACACCTCGGTCAAGAAAATCCAAGAACAATGGCCGCATTGACAAGCCTCATGACCAGCTTTTGCGCAGGAGAGGACAGCTGGTTGGCAAGATGTAGCACCAGTGACCCAAGTACATCCGAAACTAGGGATGCAAATGGAAAACCGCGACACAACAAGGATCGTCGCCGGACCAAGGAAAACAATCCGAAGAGCACGGCCGCCAACGCCGGATTCAAAAGCTCACGACCGAATTAGAAAAGGCTGCCCCTCCAGGATAACAGGGACGACCTATCCAACGTAAACAAAATCCTGGATAGGATATGTCAAATACACAGTACTCCTGGGAAGCCTGCTAACCATACCCACAGAGATTGTTGGGTCTTCAAACAATCCGGCAGACTCAACGCCGAACACAAGGGGCTTGACACACCAAGCGAAGACGATGACGAACCCCAAAAGCAGAGCACCAGGAAACAAAAGAATTTTCCACAAGAAGTAAAAACAGTAAACTTACTTCACATAACAAAACGTGCGGCACCCATAAAGGTACGCGCCACACGGCCTATCCCAAAGGAGTCGCGCCACTGGTTGTCAAAACCAATCATCTTCGATCATCTGGACTATTCTAGAAGTATCAGGAACGCAGGCTGGACTGCCTTGGTACTCGCTCCAATAATTGGCGGACTCCAATTTACAAATGTCCTGATGGACGGCGGCAGCAGTCTAAACCTGATATATCAGGATACAATCCGCCACATGGGGATAGACCCAACAAGAATTCGCCACAGCAAAACCTCCTTTCAAGGGGTAGCGCAAGGTCCGGACACCCATTGCATGGGTTTTCTCCGGCTCGAAGTTATATTCGGCTCCACCGATAACTTCCGCCGCGAAAAGCTGACTTTCCACATCATCCCATTCTCAAGTCGCTATCAAGCACTGCTGGGACGCGAGGCTTTCGCTCGCTTTAACGCAATACCGCATTATGCATCTCTTACGCTTAAGATGCCCGGTCCGCGAGGCATCATCTCTTTGCAGGGGAAGCGTTGAATGCGCCTCCCTCGAGCGGAGGATTGTGCGGCCTCTTTAACAGCCCCACAATAAAATGGCTTCACCAGCCAAAACATCTGAACAGGTCATTAAGACCACGGACACGGATAGACGAGTCCGGCACAAAAGTATCATTAATAAAAACTTAGTGGCCATATACCACTGCCCTGGGGGCTCCGCACATATAAAATAAGAGACAATAAAGCTCAATTTTACATATTTTACTTTATACTTTGTTTATTTAATATAACTTTTGTTCGACACGACCTTTTTTCAACCTAGTTCCTCTCTTTTACAGATGAACATTGTGCTGCGCCCGTCCAGGATACGGCACAATGGAGACACAGGCGCAGACGTGCAGTAGGGACCCGTTTCAAGGATTCTTTTCAGATTAAGACTTTGCGTAAACCTTTTTTACTGTCTCTTGTTGATATACATCCCCTGTTTTTCTCTGGTATAACCAAGGAGGAGGCTGGCGTCTTGGCATGTGGCCACGTCAGAATTTTTGCGCGTACCTAGACACTAGGGGCTTTTAACAAAGGGCGTTGTCTTGCTCGCACTCATAAAGACCGAATACCTTAGGGAGTGTTCGGCGTCGCGCGTTTTGGCCTTATATGCATCAGCTCAGAATCATGTCTTTGGTCAAATGTTGGGTTGCCCGGCTCCTGTGTTCGGCTGCCTTACGTTCCGCTCTATCGGCTAAGGTAGCACCAGGAGAACTACTGCGATTGTGCCCCGGTTCGGCCGGGCGAGCACCTTAGTAGAGAAAGCCAAAAACTGACTGTCATGATATAGCGCGAGACTGGTCAGCCACTCAATGAACTACCGGAATCTATAGGATTCCTCCGCTTTAACGAAGGGCCGTTTCCCGGCCAGGCACATACGCGCCCCGAATTCGGGCGAGCGCAGTCGCCACCAGGGGCTATCTAAGTAGCCTCACAGTCAAGCTCCTATGGCTAAGTGAAAGTGATAAAGCATTATAGTCCGATTGCCTAGTTCGCTGCGCTATCACCTCCTTTGTAGGACCAAGACGTTGGATTAGGTGTGAAAACGCGCCTTCTGCGAACACCCCGACATTATGTGCATGGGGGCTGAAGCCGACGACTGCCATCTTTCAGATTTTATATAAACAGCCGCACAGGAGGTGTTAAAATACTTGCAGACACAAGTATAAAAAGTTCCTATAATTTATCAAAATATCTTTTTACAATCACGTACGCTATTCGAAGATAGCATCCTTCGAGCACTGCGTCTCGATTACATGAGCGCCTTGCAGGACTTCCTGAAAATAGTGCTCGGCAGGTACTCGGCTTCTATCCGAATCTTGGGATGCAACAGCGGTGGTCTCCATTTCCGCCCAGTATGTCTTGACACGGGCAAGAGCTATCCGCGCACCCTCTATGCATGCTGACCTCTTAATTGCATTAATACGCGGCACCGCACCAAGGAACTGCTGCACCAAGCTGAAATAACTCTTCGGCTCCGATCTCCCCGGCCACAGGTGACTCGTGACACACTTCATGGCGAGTCCGGACAGCCTATTCAGTTCGGCCCATTCGGCCAGACGATCGGCCACTGACAGTGGACGCCTGGATTGTGGAACTGCGACCAGAAAAGCTTTTCCACTTCGCGATCTTCTTGATCTCGAAAGTGTTCGGTCGCATCAGCGGCACTCGCCGCCAAATCCAGATAGGTGTCCGTCGTACTCCACAGTCGGTCCAACGGAGCATGTTTAGGATCACAAAACTTCCTCCGCAGCATATAAGGCTTTCCAGCCGTGATTTCTCCGGCCTGACGCAGCTCCTCCTTTGCAGCTCTCATCGCAGAGCAAGCATCCTTGGCATCGGCAACGGCCTTCTTCAAGTCCGTCTGCTCCGCCCGGTCTTCCCTTTCAAGAAGCTTGCAACGGTCAGCAGCGCTTTTTAGCTTCACGGCCATCTCGGCCATCTCTTTTTTGCTTCGGCAATGAGCAGTCTGTTCGGCTCTCAGCTCTTCGAGGGCCAAACACAGATAGGAAGTCTAAAATACGGTCGGGCTAAGGGCCCTTAACCTCAGCAAATTAAATTGATGGAACGGGAACATATGAGCTCGGGCACACAAAATTACCGCATGAAAAATGCCAACCTGCACAGGAGCTCACTAGCAGGGGGCGTCAGGAGAATGCATAACCGTATCATGCAATCGGTTGTGGATGCCATCCTACTCATCAACAGCGACAAACGACTTGCGATCTTCAGTCCCATCCAGTGGAAGATAAGTTAACTGATTGCCAACAGCAACTGAATCCATCCTCAGAAGGCTAACTATTAGCTCAAGATAAAGAAGGGGAATCAAAGTCAAAACCCTCACCGCTGGAGATAAAGTAGAGAATTGCAGAGAATCGACTAAAATGATAACACGAAGTGAGCACTTGTACATTTTCCGGGGACAAGTGGGTTCATCTCAAGAACTGGAGAGAACCGGCCAGTGCTTGAGATTGTTTCAGCATCCTCGATTTCAGCATACAAAATACACATTCAATTATTCAGAGGCCTTTGCTGTCTGACATTTAAGGATGGCAGCAGTGTGATGGGCCCCAACAAATGTTAGAGTTGGATATAGTGCATTCTCCTTCTGTTTACCCAACATGCATCTGAATGCCTTTTGTATTTGCGCCAAGAGAAAAAACATGAAACATATATCTTGTATTAAAAGAAGCACCAAGAAAACGCAGCAATGTACCAACGGTGGCAATGGCGAAATAAAAAGAGCGCTCAAAATCATTGCTAGTCTAATTCACTAAATCTCTTATAAACATTGATCTCATCAACACAATGCATATGCTAGAAATTCACTCCCTATCTCTGGGTAATTAAAACCAGTGTACACATATAAGCAAGCATAATTCCAACCGAGAATCTGATACAATCATGATGCCTGAAATACAGGTTCACAAAAGAGGGAAAGAAATTATCCATTATTAATAAGCTCAATAGCCTCATCTACCGTGGCAGGCTAGAAGATGACAAGAACTCTGCCTCCAAGCTATAGCGTCGTTGGCTACCTCCTGGCTGTGCGGATAATTGCCGAGCATATCTACTCCTTTGAGTTAACGACCTTGGTTGCATCTGTTCTCCACTTCTCGGATCTGGCTGAGATGAGTTCATCCGTTTTGTCCGTAGAGTCTGCAGTTCTGTCTCAACCTGTTTCATGGTTGGTCTTTCTTCACCGTGTAGCCTCAAGCACCGCTCTGCAAGAGAGGCAACACCATTGATCTCTTCCTCGGTTGCCTCCTCAAGCACCTGAGAATTAGCAATATCTGTGATTCTTCCCTCATTGAACTCCTGAAGGAAATAGTTTGACAAACTTTTGACTGTGCCTGATTCACATGTAAATACAGGCTTCATTCTGAGAAGCAACTCCACTAGTACCACACCAAAACTGTACATGTCGCTCTTCCCGTTCAGCTGCCTGGTATGGAAATACTCTGGATCTAAGTACCCAAATGTACCTTGCACATTCGTGACAATATGTGTTTGATCGATTGGAACCAATCTGGAAGCGCCAAAATCAGAAACTTTAGCTGTGTAGTTCCCATCCAAAAGAATATTTGAGGACTTCACGTCACGATGGAAGATTGATACTGAAGCTGAAGAATGGAGATAAGATAGAGCTCCTGCTGATTCGAGAGCAATCCTCAAATAATCACCCCAAGATAAGGAAAAACCATCACTTGCATCGGCATGAAGAACTTCAGACAGTGAGCCGTTGGATACATAATCATACACCAGTAGTGGAACCTCGGTTTCGAGGCAACATCCAAAGAGCTTCACAATATTTCTGTGATTTATCTGAGTGAGGACTGCGACCTCATTAATGAATTGTCTGATCTCAGATTGCTCAATGACCTTTGACTTTTTTACTGCAACGACACACTGATCAGACAATATGCCTTTGTAAACCATGCCATGGCCCCCACGTCCGATAATACGTGTAGGATCGAAGTTGTTTGTTGCCTTCTCTAGCTCTTCTAACGAAAAAATCTTAGTATTCTCATTTGCAGTTTCATCAGACGATATCAACGTTTCTAGGAGAAGACCTTGGTTCTTCTGGAAATATTTTTTCCGTAGTTGCTTTTGAACATTTATTTTCCATCTAAGAATGAGAAGTGATGCACTGAAGCTCAGAAGTAGAACACCGAATCCACAAGACAACCCAATAATTATACCTGCAGTCATCAAGCTCTTTAAGTTAATGTTCTATGTCATCTATCAAATGTTACCATAACATTCTTACCTAAAAGCAGAGTCTGTTGTTTCGTTCTAGTACACTGCATTTTTGTTTGATCATACTCAGTCTTGCGAGGACATCCAGTACAAAAGAAGCTTCCTTCAATATTATGGCAGATCCCTTTACAATTGTTTGGCTGAATGCACTCATCAATGTCTGAAATTAACAAGATCTTGATAAGATGCATCCCAAAACTATATACATGAGACATAGTATATATTCAATTAACATGAAGCAGTACATCAGCCAAGTAAAAAAGCCTACATGCATGATAAAACATACCAGATGCAGCGAAGTATTTTCGCTGTAAACCTTAGCTTTGATATAATTGTACAAATTTTCTTTTATAAGAGATATATTGTGCTTACCGCTACAACCACTTTGGACGTATGGATTTCCTTGGAAGCCATCTGCGCATTTGCGGTGATAACCAACATAGATGTCTGCAGTGTTTACTTCTACGCACTTGCTATTGAGACTCACACAAGCATATCCGGTTTTATTCTGTCGGGCCTCTATGCAACTTAGATTTGCAGCAACCCATTGCAGAGGGGAGAACAATGTCCCATATGAATAAAAAAGACCTCCAGACAGGGTGAATCCTCCTTTTTGCTCAGGATTGGTGATATTAATGGTCCCTTCATCAACATTCATGCTGTTTACCTCCAGATGTGCCAACATGAGGACAGCTGATGAAGTCGTAACTGAGCAGTTGAGGTGAAAATCTCCCTTCGCAAAACAACCCTCTTCTAAGCCGAACGGGAATTGCACACTAATGTTACCACACGAACGGGTACAATCAGCTCTGCTTGCAATTGGATTATACCCTGGGATGATCAATAAAGGTAAGTTGTATCCAAGTTACAATTCCCAAAATACCTAACAGTTGTACATTTGGTCATTTCACTAGGGAAAAAAATAAAGTTACCTTTGTCGTTGGAGCATCCATCTTGAATGAAGGGGTTGCCTGTATAGCCGGCACCGCAGATGCAGTTGTACCCATTGCTTGATGTCATGCCGAAGTCAATGCACTCATCACGTGTCAATGGACAGTCAAAAAATGTACTGTCGACGCACTCGGCATGCTCGCTGATACAGGCATAGGCAGTCCTATTTCGCACCGTGCCAGCACAGTTGGGTTGATCCACCATATTCCAACGAACAGTGGCGCCGCCACTGTCCGTTATGCTGATTCTATCCCACAATGGAGAGGTCCGGTTAGGGCGTGCTCTGGTGTTAATTTTCCTATGGCGCAATACAAATTTGAGGTGAAAAGTGTTGATGCTATGGTCATCGATGGGAAAACTACAGCAACCGACGCCATTGCACTTCTTCGTAGCCACCATCTCCGTAATTCCTAGGTCCATGCACGCAGTTTTGCAGACGCGCCTGGCTGTGCCGGTGTTGTCGTTGACCCAATACACATCCAGGTCGCAACCTATGATGTTTAGAACAGTGTACCCATGGGTGAAGGACCTCCCAGGTGATTTCAGCGACAAGTCATACACTTTAACACCAGATTTCAAAGGAATGGTATGCCGGAAGGAGGTGCTGATGAAATTTGCAGTGCCGAAACCATTCACATCGATATCGCCGGTTACCTCGGTGATGCCGTCGTGCAAGAAGAGCTTGGGGGGTTGGGAGGTCTCGTTGCAAGAGAGATTGAAATCAGGCCCACGGGAGCACCTCGACCCGATGCCAAAGGGATAGTCGAAGCTCAGATTGCCACATGTCTTCACGCAACCTTCGAGCGAGGCACTCCGGGGAACACTATTATGTTCTGGACTGTAGCTTGTTACAACTCCAGATGCTAACGCAGTTAGCTTTCCTAGTGACCCGAGTACCAAGAAAGGGAGTAGTGCATAGATCACTGGCAAGATGCCCATGATCTACAAATGCACCTTGCGCTGCTTCCAACTTCGCTCGAGAAATTCAGGTCAGGCAAGTATATGGGGGAGAGTATATGGGGTGTACATCTCACGGATTTTTTTTATCAAGTCATGCCAGCTTTAAGTCTGCATATTAATGGTTGCATAGTTGCAGTTTGACTCCTGTGGATGTGGCTGTGGTGGGTTTGATGCGATATGAAAGTGAGATTGCCAATTTGCCATGGCCACATTAAATTGCGCCGCTACTTTTCTTGTGGCTATGCTGCAGCTGAACTTGTAAGTCAGTCATTATCTCCTGGTGCAGGTAATTCTAGCCCATGTCACCACATGTTTTTACTAAGATGCTAGAAAACTCACGCCAAACTTGTGCAAATTGATGAGAACAAGTAAAGAAGCAAAATTGCAGCATGAAGATGCCAAACGAACTAAATCAGAAACTCATCAGCATTGGACACCGCGTTTTGGACATTACTTTGGCAAACATTTTAGCTAATTCAATGTTGCAGTGATCAAAGTGGCATAATTTGCAAATTTACGGCACTATATTTGCCACTTGTTACAAGTTAGTGGACCTGTCAAGTTTGCGACAATGCTATGAGGATTTAACAGTAGTCAGTGTTGAACGGCTCATCTGGGAGGCCTTATATTGTACGTACCACTTTCAGGACTGGCTTGGTGCTGCAAATTAATGGAGACACTAGGCCCAAGTAAGAAGACACCGCGAAGAACAAGAAAAGTAAGCACCACTACTTTTTTCTGGTCTTGCTGCCGCAGAGCCGCCTCTCAAGTCAGTCAATGCCTGCCTTCTTGTGCATGATATTCTAGCCCATCAAAGGGGGTGTTGACAAGTCTTTGCCAAATGGCTCATTTCTGTTCACAATAAACCGCATTGCATATTATCGGCTTGTGATTCGCGTTGCAGAGATAGACATTGAATGCCATCCACTGTTTTGGTTACCGGTCGAAATTTCACTATTTTCCGTGGTTACCGTGTATTTCCGTGCCCCTCAGTAAATCGTCATACCGAGCAAAAAATACCATTTTTTGAAAATTTTAAATTTAAACACTCGATTTACTGTAAAGTACGTAGGATCTAATTAATGTCATGAGAGTTGGTTCTAGCGTATTGGTAGCAAGCTAGTTCCTTTTTTGAGAGGTCTTTGGTTCGAATATTTGTTCATTCACTTATTTGAATTCAAAATTCAACTACAAAATTCGCTCGAAATATTCTCTGCATTTCTCGGTAACTGTGGTAACCACATTTACTAGTCCCCCTCGGTAAAATTGCCTCATTCGGTAACCAAAACCTTGATGCCATCTGACACTGAGAGCCGGATGGCAATCTTCAGTGCCACCTAGTGAAGATAAGCTAACTGATCAATTCCAACCGAGCTAGGTATGGTAACTGAGCTCCATCCCCATTCTAAGCTGGTGTTTGCTTAAGCTACAACTGAGGGCAGACTAGTGAAGCGATAACCATACCAACTGATGGGAACATATGAGGACCCAGATTAAATTAACCATGCCAACTGATGGGAACATATGAGGACCCAGAATTACCTCATGAAAAAATGATAGTCTGTACAGAAACTAACCAGCAGGGGAGCATCAGAAGAAACGCAGCGGAACCGTATCACACAACTGGTTTGCGAATGTCATCCTGCGCCAAGAGTGATGGCCGGCTGTCAATCTTCTGCCCCACATAGTGGAAAGTAAGCTAACTGAGGTGATGGCCTCCAACTGAGCTAGCTGATGTGATGGAACCGAATCCATGGCCAATTCTATATGTAATTTGCTTAAGCTGCAACCAAGAGCGCAAAGCAAAGATTGTGAACACTGGAGATAGATAAACTACAGAGTGTAGACACAGAATCAAGTGAAACAACAACAGCAGGAAATGAGTGGATGTGCATGGATTCAACGCCTGACCTCTTGTGCGGGATTATCTGGCTTGTGGTTTGTGCTGCTCAGATAGGTTGTGAATGATATCCTGCTCATCGACAGTGACCGACTGACAGCTACTACTACGTCCCATAATATAGGACGTTTTTGCAAGCTAACTTAGCTTGTAAAAACGTCTTATATTATGGGACGGAGGGAGTAGCTCCCAATCTTCAGTGCGACCAAGTGAAGTGAAGATAAGCAAACTGATTGCTTCCAGCTAAGCTAATTGACAGTAACTGAACCCCGTCCCCAATTTTAGCTGGTGTTTTATTAATCAGCAACCAAGGGCAGAGTGAAGTGAATATTCTGCACAGAGTAAATCAACCATCCCCATATATAGTACCAACTGATTGGAACATATGAGCACCCAAAATTACATATGAGCATCCTAATGGAGCAGTCCGTTGTGGTTTCGTTTCGCTTGTCCCTTCGATCGATAGATATGGCCCTACCCCCGATCTGCCTCCCACTGATTTTCTACCTTCCTCCGAAAACCACCACCAGTTTTCATTCATCAGCAGACCCCCACATCCCATGCCCAGAAAAACCGACGCTTCCATATAAGACACCAATCAAATCATATCGAACCTTCCATGCAAAACATATCGCATACCAACCCTTCTATCCTTTCGTTGTTCCCGTCCCAAGTCTTTTTATTAACGCACGAAAAAAGGAAACATATCCCACCTTCCGTTTTCTATTTGTTCTCTACCAAATCAATCATAGAGCCCCCGCTAGAGAAAACAAACGCCCCACCCTTTTCTAATCTCCCGAGCGAGGGTAATCCTGCTCGCGCGTAGGCCGCCGCCGCCATCCCTCCACAACCGACATACGTCCCCTATGGAGACCAACGTGCACTTGTGCGTTGGAACCAACACCATCGCCGCCAAGTCGGAGATCAAGAAGCTCCAGTCCTGCATTAGGGCGCGGGCGGGCCCCACGATCGCAGGGTGCTGCAAGGTCAAGGTGGAGGCACACCCAATCCAGGAGCACCCGCGCCCTTGCCGCGTGGTCGGGCGCGTGGCCCTGGTCGGCGACGCGGCGGGGTACTGACCATGTTGCAAATTATCCTTCTTCTCACTATCGTTGATGATGGATGCGATATCCACGTGATCGCAATGCATTTAACGTGGTAAACAATGAGCTTGTCACTGCAGACATATTTGTCATCGTCTCGCGCAAGGGAATGTTTAAAACTTTAAAAACAAATCTCATCGACCACAAACTACTCGCCAACGCCAAGACATATAAAGAATTTCCAAAAACTAATCAAATCTTAGATATAAAATACTTCTGAATCAGAACAGTTTTTTCAATCGACAAACATTCTTTTAAATTTAGGCAGTTGGATACATAATCATACACCAGTAGTGGAACCTCGGTTTCGAGGCAACATCCAAAGAGCTTCACAATATTTCTGTGATTTATCTGAGTGAGGACTGCGACCTCATTAATGAATTGTCTGATCTCAGATTGCTCAATGACCTTTGACTTTTTTACTGCAACGACACGCTGATCAGACAATATGCCTTTGTAAACCATGCCATGGCCCCCACGTCCGATAATACGTGTAGGATCGAAGTTGTTTGTTGCCTTCTCTAGCTCTTCTAACGAAAAAATCTTAGTATTCTCATTTGCAGTTTCATCAGACGATATCAACGTTTCTAGGAGAAGACCTTGGTTCTTCTGGAAATATTTTGTGACGGACGGGCAGAAGCAATATCTGCTTTATTAATAGGTAGAGATAGAGATTTTTTTTTGAAAAGGAGGTTAAACCCCCTGCCTCTGCATCAATCAATGCATGCAGCCATCTTTATTAATTATTCCATAAAGGTGTGACAAGAACATACATCAATCTATCTGAAGCCACCACTCACACCTATAAACTCGATAAATGTGGAGTGCTCTTATTTTCCATATCTAAAACCGGTGCCGTCGCCTATCCATCCACATAACTTATCGGGACCAACAGCCGGTGCAGCCTACCTAAAGCGCACACCACATGCATACGTTTTAGAAGCCGCCATCATCATCGGACCACTGACCCATCTTCAGGAGAGAGATCCGCATCATCCTTACCAGTCCGGACATCCGTCGACGCCACCACGGCGCCCAACAGCGCCACCACCCTGCGCTCGTCCGTCCAGATGCGAAGACTCTGGAAGATCCATCGTGCGTAGCACCTGCCAACCAGGCATGACTCAGCGTAGCACCTGTCGGCCAGGCATGACTTGACAGCTCCACCGAAGCTCCATGCAAGATGAAGCCGTCCAACCTCCTGCCTCTGTCTTCCAGCGATGCTCCATAAACAATACTCCCAAAGGAGAAACGACACCGTAGTACCGCCATCTGGAAGACCAGATCCTAGGGTTTCCCCCAAAGCAGCACGAGTGGGTCGACAACAGTTACATGACGATGCCTTCATCAAGGTAATGGGGCAAAACACCGCCCTCGCCCGCCAACGGCTCGGTTTTCACCGGCAACTATGTCTCCCCGACTCGTAGCCGGGACTAGATGACGAATCTCGAGATCTAACAACCCAGCCACAGGCCGGCCACCTCTGACGGAAGAGATGACCACCACCGCTGGCTGCACCAGTCAGAACAGATCTAACCGGAGGTGCCGCTGACGCGACCGCCAGGCCCTCCACGAATCCTTCGATCCAAAGGCAGATGGCGTGCCGCCGCCGCCGCCAAAACAAGGGCAGGACGCCGCGCCCGCAGCCCGTGCCGCCTCCGACGCCGCCGCGCCACAGCCATTGTTGTCGCCAACACTGCCACCACAGCCGCCATTAGGACGCTGGCCGGCCGCCACACCGCCGTAGTCCAGATCTGGGCCTTCATGAACCAGATCGGCGCCGCCACAGTGCAGATCGGGGTCACACCCTCGAGCCAGGGCGCCCCACGTCATCCTATGACCCATGAGAGGGAGGAGTGCCTCTGCCGCCGCCGTCGCACGCACAGGCTATGCCCGGCGCCGACCACCGGCGGCGACGGAGGGGAGGGAGAGGAAGGAGCGGGCAATTTAACAAAGGTTAACCTCATCTCAGCCAC